GGGCCCAACATTGAACCTTGGGGGACACCACCAGTGTGGTAGTGTCTCCCAAGACTCTGTGCCGCTGATTACAGCCCTCAGGGATCTGCTGTTCATCCAGTTCTAAACCACCTCTCTGTCTACTCACACAGTCCACACTTCCTGAGTTTGCCTGTGAGGATGTTGTGAGAGTATCAAAAGCCTTGCTGAAGTCAAGGTAGACAATGTCCACTGCTCTCCCCTCGTCCCTCCGGGCAGTTGGTTCATCATAGGAGGCAATCAGGCTGGTCAAGCGTGTTTTACCTTTAGTGAATCCATGCTGACTACTCCTGATCACCTTCTTGTCATCCCTGTGGATAGTGATGGCCTCCAGAATGAGGTGCTCCATCACCAGCATGAGGTGCTCCATCACCTTTCCAGGACTGAGGTGAGGCTGACTGACCTCTAGTTCCCTGTGCTTTCCTCCTTGACCTTTTGAAGACTGGGGTGACATTTTCTTCCTCCCAGTCCTCAGGCACCTCTCGTGATCTCTACAACTTTTCAAAGATGAACGTGAGTGGCCTCACTACAGTGTTAGCACAAGTGCTGGAATTTCCCTTAATGCTAAAAGGCAATCATGCAGCAAAACAAAAACAAAATTATTACCAAATGTTACCCATAGTTATGGGAGTCTGAATATTGCTGAAGATTTTAAAAGAAGTGTAAATGTGCTTTAGTGGTGGATTGGCAGTGTTCACTTAATGGTTGGACTTGATGACCACAAAAAGCTTTTCCAATTGAAACAATTTAATGATTATCTGACTTCATGTCTTCTCCAAGTAGCTTGGATCTTAATTTTAAAATCTTTTCCAAGGGAAATCAAGAAAAAGTTTTACATACCACTTTTAGCAATAAGTAAAAAAATAAGTGCTATATAGTGCAGTTGACTAAACACCGTTGTTATTTTTCAGCATTATTTTGCCATATGTTTAGAGTCACTGGGACTGCAGTGCTGTGAATACCAGCCACACAAGCTATCAATTAACTGCTCCTGAATGCCTCCATATTGTTGCCATACATCACTGTGGCTCCTCTAATCTTTGCAAGAAGTTTTCTTCAGTCTTTTTTGAACAGCATTTGGATGCTGTTGGTAATTTGAAGTCTAATCATTACAGTGGCACCTTGGGAACAAATTCATGGCCTCAAATCCTATTGTAGAAGGCTTTGCACAGATCCAGGTATGGATACAAAATTGCTCCCAGCTGTATATAATTTAAAAACTAAGATAAAATACTTCAATGCCACAAAAAAGTGGGATTCCTCTCAATAGTTCCAGATAGTGCCACAGCAGATATTGGCAGGTGAGCTAGAGATCTTCAATTTCCTTTGCAACTATTGAAGGGAAACAAGCCCTCTCCATATCAACTCATTGGGTCTGACCTGGCATTGCTTTGTTTCTTTCTATTTTCTATAGAGCAAAATGAGCTGTTTCACAGATACCTGCATCTAGAGATACCTGCCTCTGGTCAGATATAAACCAAATATACAGGCATAGTCATCAGCAAGATGGTGATGGCTTCAACATGGTGCTAGCTGAGAAGGTTTTACAGAAAAAAAATATCCCTGCTTTAAAGTGGCTCAGTGGATGCTTTGGGGAGCCATTCATTATCATGAACTCTGATAAAGGTTAGTGGTCTCATTAAGACATAAAATTATGGGATCTTAATGCGAGACTTAGATGATGGGGTAGGTAAGAAATGTATCTTAGAGAAGTTAGAAAAGACTTTGCAAGAATGAGTTATGACATGGAGTGGGGAACTATATATATCTCAGCAGAAAATTGCATCCATTTAAGAGCAGCATAGCAATACTGTGCCAATGAAAAGCAGTTGTGGAGTTTGAGGAACAAGTCTACAAGGCAGAGAGGCTAAGACGTGTGTTTTAGCTGTGTTTGTCTTGGCCTGATTGAATTTTTAAAAGACATTAAAAGATTTTTGTTTGGACATAGGGAAATAAACATGGAGTAAAGACATACCTTTTTGTCACAGACACATTGGTTGTTTCACAGATGACACACAACAGAAAGTGAGAAGAATCAAATCAAAACTATTATAAAAAATAAGGCCTTAGTGAGCACCACTCTGCTCTCCCCCAGTATGGAGGAGAACAAGAAAATCTTCCAGAATTTAGGTAGACTGAAAGAAATTGAAAAGAAAAAGAAAAAGAAAAAAAAGAGAAGCCATACTTAAACTAAAAAAAAAGGATACATTTTTCAGAAGTATGGGCTCATTTTTGTTCAAGTCCAAGGCACCAGACTGTCATGAGGGAGAAGTGAAATACCACACTGCAGCTGGAGCTTGTAGGGGAACAGATTAAAAATGGGCAAGGGCTGGTGAGCCAGGTTGGTGTGAGCAGGACAAGACTTGCTTGTATTGTTATGGAAAAAAGGCCAGAGTTCACTGAGAAGCTAAGGAGAAGGATATGGGATAAGGTGGGAATGCAGGAACAGCTGAGGGGTAAGAAGAAAAGGCAAACAGGAGCTGCCTGCATTATGAAAGAAAAAGGAAGGTAAGGTCAGGGTATGTTGTGTTTTGTATTAATATATTAAATATATAATTTTTCCTGGGCAGAAATGGAGAACTGTAGTGAAGGCAGAAAGAGATAAAAGCAGGAATGAAGAGGGGGTAGAAAAGTGAGTGACAAGTGGTGAAAAGACAGCTGCTATTACAGGTGTAGGCACAGTGGAAAAAGCAATTTATCTCTGAAAGTGACAAAGACAAGAGATTGTCTGAGATGAGATCTAGAACAAAGTAAGCAACAGTGCTTTACAAGCCATTTTTAAAGGTCATCTTGTAATTTTTTGCATTGATGCCTTGAGACAGATGAGATGCATTTATAATATAATAATTCAAAAGGACACTAAAAGTGTAACCCTAATTTACAGTTCATTGGAGCACTAAAGGAAACATCAGCAAAGCTGTGTTATTATTTTTCTAAAGTGGCAAAATATAGTCACAAAACTTCCATTAACTGAGTTTTAGGCTAGACTGGTACTTTGATCTTTCTGATTATAGTTTTTTAGAGAGTCAGACCTAACATCTAAACAGATGCACCACTGTGATTGAAGAAAGTGTATACAGTACTTTTAAAAACACATACTTTAATAGCATAAAATATTTTTTAAACGTTTTTTGCTTGAAAAGTTCTTCCAAAAAAATCTTCAGATCTTGGTATTCCATAAATACAGAAATTTCTGTCATTTCACTTCAGTAAGTGTTAAGGAGAGTGCTATCCAGGTCTGTTTCATGCATATCTGTAGGTATTTCACTCAATGCAATACTGGTTTAGAGTGGTTAAAGCATACTGTGAATTTTTGGATGCAAATGACTTTTGTCACTAAGAAAGCCAAAGTCAAAACCAAAACTATTTTAAGAGTGCTGGTTTCAGCATAACCATCTTGGGTCCCAGCTGGCAAAAGGCTCTTTGAAAGCAGGTTGAGATACTCATTCTATGAGAAAAGCAGATTTGAGTCCCTCTTCTGTCAGATTTAGAGGGGTAATTCTGGGTGACTAATGGATGCTTTTGGCTGAGTACCCTCCAGCAGTTCCTGAAAGGCTTGGCTGTTTTTATTCAAGCTAGGAACATTTCTTTTCTGAATTTTCAAAATGTTCAAAACAGCTTGATAGTAACTAGCAACAAAGTGTTAGATCACATGTAGAAGGCTTATTTATTTTTTCATTTACAGGTGAGATTCTAGGGATTAGGGTTTTACCTTCTTAAGATGAAAATCCTGTTGCCTCTTCCTACAAAGCTCAAGAGTCACGTAGATTCCCTAAATAAAAAGAAGTTAGAAGTGCACATGTAATTACTTCAGATCCATCTGTAAAAACATGAAAAAGAGAAGTACAAATCTCACAATCTAAACAAAATCTTCTTTTTTTAAAATAAAGTATGATCACGTCTTCAATCGTGGTCGGCAGCTTTAGGCAGCTGGGTCCCACAGCTAAGAAAAAATATATTTCTATAGTTGCACAAATTAGACCAAGAATGATTGCAATTGCCTACATTCACTGCCAAGATATTTCAAAAGGGCTATATTAGAAGATTTTTTAAAGGTTTAGGAAGACAAATAGTTGCAGTTTAAGAAAACAATAATTATAAAGTTTTGGGCATTGTACAGGAAAAGAATTTTTTTAAATTATATATTTTTTTAAAGTAAAACATGATTTGGCAAGTCAGGCACACAGAAGCTATCAATTATCTGTTGTGGGAAAAAAATTTAAGAATAATCTCTAAGCAACATCTGCATTGTACATATCTGTAAGTTACTTAAATGGCTAAGAATCTAAAGGTTGACATGATTTATGCTAGTTACTGACGAGTCTTTAGTAATGTTTCTTTCTCACTTAGCATCATTTATTCAGAGGTCTGAGGGTGCTACGAGGAGAATTAAGGGCATAATTATTTCTATTTTACAGCTGAGGAAGAAGAAAGCAGAAACACTGTCACATATCCACCTTCCTGGAAAGGTCTGGGAGAAGGCAGGGTGGAAAAAATCCTGCTCTTGCCTTGTGCAGCTAAGTTCATCTCTAGAACACTTGGATTTTACTGGAGTTGAATAACTGCTGAGTAGTCCATTCACAACTATGCACAAAAAATGCTAGTTCCTGATTTGATTCAGCTGCATTCCTGCCCTTTTTTGTTAGTCTTGTTTCAATCTATTTTCTCTGCATATGAATGTTGGCGAAGGCAACTGATGTAGAGGGGTACACATATTCATGGAGGAATAGGAGTTGAAAAAGTCTACTCATCTTCTGTTTATTATTCATGATTCACTATTCATCACTCACTTTTTTCTCTATTCATAATGTTTCAGGCATCCAATCAGGAGTGGAGACTGGGATGAATAATGGAAATACACAGTTCACAGATAATACTCAGGCTGTAATTTGTACAGGCAAATGATCTGACGAACATTTATAAATAACTGTAACAGTACTTTGGTGGCACAAAAGAAAATCTGCCCTCAAGTAAGAAGCAGAGAAATGAATTTGATTATGTTGAGAAGCACTAAGTAAGTAACCAGAATAGATAGCAAAGTCCTGTAATATAACCTGACTTTTTCCAGGAAGATAGAAGGTCATTAAGCTATGAAATACACTCTGTCTTATGATGGTGCAGGATTATCATTTTAATAGTCATCACTGGGGAAAGATGGACCAGTACCCACAACTGGATTGAGAGTAATCAGGTCACAGATCTAACACACCCAGTGAAAACTTCTGGTGTGCTAAGGGATTCCTGCCAGATTGCCATTCTAGGGGCAGGAGCACTATATCACTCCCTGCTGTTCTGAAGAAGGGAATTGCTTTCTGTGGTGTATGCTCCTCTCCCAGCTGTTGAAGAAAGGGCCACTCCTCAGCTTCCGAGCTGCTGTATTTTCTCTGAGATGTTGAACACTGCCCCAGTTATTCAAAGGCTCATAACTTCTGGAGAATAGTGGTTACATAAATCTTTTCCTCACATTCCAGCTTACAGGGCATGGTGGAAAGATTGAAGTATCCCCCCCCAAAAGACAGAAATGCACAATGCCTGAGCTGGTTAAGGCAGGAGCTTGACTCCTTCAATCAAGAGCAAACCACAGTGAGGATGAGGAGTCACTGTCACTGCCAGAAGTCTCTTCTGTAGCGCTGTGGGTGAGGTCCAGCTCCCCATCCCAGACTGACATTGTCGTATCATATCCTACTGTTACCATCCACAACTTTAACTGTTGTACAGCCACTAGCTCTTTCTTGATCCTGCAGCGACGTTCAGGTCAGATGCAAACACTTTAAGCAAACCTGCCAGCTTTCTGACCCACTTTAGGATGTAGACATCCTGAAATTACTTACATAGGCATTGTGGGGCAGTGCAATTTACAGTCCAAGATATTGGTTTCAACCACAGCTAATTTGATAGTAATTATGCTGAGCTATGCTAAACAACAAAAATCTACTTTCCTAAACTAGCTCTTATACCTTTACCCTATTCTTTCCTACCAGAGAGCAAATTAGAGCAACAGAGAGATGAAAAGATGCTGGTCTGTGAAAAAACCCTCTACTCATCACAAGCAAGCCATGCCATGAAATTGTCTTCATGAACTGAACTGATCAATTCAAACACACTCAAACCTAAACTGTGAGCAGCATTCAAGCTCTTAAAGAAAAACCTCAAGTGTCCCTCAGTTTTTCAACAACTTTGCAGGTTTTATGTCCCTGGCAATCTCCCACTTCTATGGCTCGTTATACAGAAGCAGAAGAGCAGACAGCCTACTTATGGCTTTACTTATTTTTAGGTATTTTACTCCCTTTCATTTGCATGAGAGAGAAATGACCCCAAAGTGGCAAGAAGCAAGGAGTGAGGAAGAGTAGAAAAAAAAACAGGATAGGGAAAAAGGAGAATCAAACGTCAGCACGAGGTCAGCCAGCTGAGCTAGGGAGAAGGAGGCATCCTCCAAGTGTGTCCCACACAGCTGTGCCACAGCTGGTCATGCTGTGACAGGGGCAGCACGCAGGGTTGCAGCAAGGTGAGAGCAGTGACAAACTCATGTGCTTTCAGCCCTTGAATCAGTGTTGAGACTTGCCCACAGGAGCAGCAAGGAGGAAGAAAGGCAAGCAGAGGAAGGGAGGCAGATGGAGATAGGGGTAGGAGAGAGATGAAGTTTGGTTTGTGGCTGGTGGAAATGAAAAGGCATCAGGAGAAAACATGAGGATAAAGAGAAGTTAACCCAAGTCCAGTGAGAAAAAAGTGGAGGTATTTGGAAGCTTTTAGGATGTGGGAGGAATCAGGGGGTAAAATTGTCGGTGGGACAGCATATACCGGTTTTCCACTTTATGCAAGAAACTTGTGCAGCTTCAGGAAGTGGTTTCAGCAGACCTGTGGGAAGGGCTGCAAGTCTGTCATTCTGTCGTGGTTTAATCTCAGTAGGCAGCTAAGCACCATAGATCCACTGTTTCACTGTCCCTCTTGAGAAGAGAATCAGAAGGGTAAAAGTCTAAAAGCAAGTGATGCAGAAGAAAACCAATTGCTCACCAAAATAACAAATGCCCAGTCAATCCCTGAGCAGTGGCAGCCCTGGCCAACCTTCCTTCCCCACCCCATTTCAACACTGACCAAAATACCATATTGGAATGGTGTGGAATGGTCACTTGGGGTCAGCTGTCCCAGCTGTGTCTCATTCCCACTCCTTGTGCACCCTCAGCCTCCTCACTGGTAGGGCAGCATGAGAAGCAGAAAGGTCCTTTGACTATGCAAGCCTTCACTATGCAATAGCCAGAACATCCCTTTGATATCCACAGTTTCCATCAGGAATGCAACAGAGTAACTGAGGTTGTTGGTTTATATATATGTGTTTTTAGGAGCTCGGTGAATTTAATTTTGGTCTATTTTCACAGCTCCTTGTTCTTGGGACATCTTCATTATTTCTACTCAAGGAAACCAATAATGACTTAATCACACCAGGAAACTTCCCAGTCAGAAAGCTGGGGGTGAGGAGCGAGCAGTGTCAGAAGCAGATGCAGGAATGAAGTTATTGCTCTGCAGCCAGAGCTATTTTTTCACTCTATCTGGTGAAGTTAATTCAAGAATCATGCTCAAAATCACAGCCTGGCTTTTCTTTTTTTTTTTTTGGTTGTTTGGAGTTGGTCAGCAAATTAGCTGGCAACCTTCTCTGAGAGGTTAATTAGAGGAGATGCCTCAGGAACACTACCCAGGCACATGCACACGCTGCCTGTTGGGAAGCTGGCAGATGTACAAGAAGCTCAGAAACCTCTATTTTTTCCAACTGGGGAATCTTTTTCTCCACAGGCCCCAAGTTCAGGCAGAGGTCGGATCCTTGTTTCCTCCCAGTAAGGATCAAAGTCTGTTGGAAGTGAGTAATGCTTACAGTGGGAATCAGAGCCTCAGCTTATGGCAATAGAAATTGAAGAGACTTTGCAGCTCTCCTAAGTGCAATGGTATTGATTTTCAGAGTAAGAAATTGCTGCTCCTATGGTTTAAACGTTATTCTGTTCTCTGATACTTGAAATTGGTTTGTCTTTTAAAAGCTATGCTAACACTTGATGTGTAATAAAAGATGATTTTTTTGTCTTTAGTCAGGAATCTCAGCCAGGAATGTGAATTTGAAGCACAAAAGCTATAGAATTACTTCTCAGTCATTGCATTTATTTAGACTGCGTCCAGTATGGAAATGGCTTCAAATCCAACTTAGTCATTTGCTGTAAATGGACCAGAAAAGAGCTTCTGCCTGAAAGTTTGGGTGGGCTTTGGAGCAGGCTCACTTGGGGAACTCCAAACAATAGCATGAAATATGATTTACCTGCACAAACTGGTAACAGTGAGTAGAGGCCTAAATACACTCAGTTCCTTCTGCTCTCCTTTCCTCTCTCCTTCCATAGTCACATAATGCCATTAGTATAACAAAAATGGCACAGTCAGATAATGGCATTAGTATAACCTGTCTTGGGAATAGGAGCATTGTTCTGACACTCATTCCCCTGCCTTAGCAGACTTTGCTGACTCCCTAAAGCAAAGCTCATGGTGGTCCTGGTACTAACTTCCCTATGGGGTTTCTACCAACACAGGGGAGAGCAGGAGAGGAGCAGGCTTCAAGGAACAGGAGGTGTAATGAACTTGCAGTAACTGCACTGTCAGTTCAGGAAACCACTGACACCCAGTGCTAGCTCCAGGGAAGTCTGGCTCCTACTTTCTTCTGCCCACTGACAACTCCTCAGGCATGAGGAGGGAAACTTGGACCTCCACGCTGAACAGCCAAATCAATCTGCATAACTAAGAAACAAATCATGAGAGAAACTCCTGAGGTAATAAAGGAACCTTCTACACATTTAAATCTGAGAAGATCAAGATTGCATTGATTTATTTACTTGCATTCTCTAGTGACTCAAGTTAATTAAAGGAGATCTCCTGCAAATTCCCCACGAGATACATCAGGGGCTACATGCTATTCATACAGGAAATAATAAATTGTAGATGCTGTATTTCCCCACAATATACATCTTTACTGCAGTCTGTCAGGTTAGCCCCAGATACTCATGGCATTGAAGTCCATTATGATGCTTCTGACTTTCTGGGCTCTATGTAACTCTTTTAATATTTTTGTTTATTATTAAAAAGAGAATCTAGGTGAAACCTTGACTATATTTAAGGAAGTGCCTTTGCATTTAATTCATCACTTCTCCTTTCATCTCCTTGCAGGACCAACTTAAGGTAACGCACGATCACACCTGTGCTCAGTTTTGCTGCCACAGCTCCATCAGATTCCCTTGAAGAAACTGGCTGCAGCCTGCTCTAAGTACCCCCACAAGAGGTGGCCGAGAAGTCTCCTCTTTCCTGTAGAGTCACAAAGTGTCTTATGAGTTTTTGTGGGAGGTAAGGTGACAGCCTCTCAAAGAATTTGGCTCAATGAAAGTCTTCATCAAAGTACCCAATTTTCATTCACTGAGATTGATGAATGAATGGTGCATGGAGGAGTTACTGTTTCTTTTGGGTACTGTTTCGTGCATTTCTTGCAGCAAGCAGAATCCACCAGCTGGAGTGATGATACCATATAACTGAATATTGAGTGAAAATCTATGACACCAGGACCCACAAACTGATAATTTGTAAAATCACACCCCATGAAAAAACTCTCAGATGAATGCAAAGGTGAAATAAGACATGATTAATTTATTTACCCAGAAGCATACTTGTTATAATGCTCATCTGAGAAGAGACTTTGTGATCTCTGGAGCAGATCCAAACTGAGGGCAAGTGGAAGCATAAGGACAGATTGGGGAGGCAGATAATGTGGGTTCAGGCTCCTTCCATCAGAGAGATCATTTCAAAATGGTTTTCCATGGCACCAGGTGAAAGCACAAATCCCAGGGTGTGGAGTGGGATGAGTCCTCTGGCTGCTCTGTGAGCAGACATAGTGCTTACCCTGCTCATGGGCTCTTCTTTCTCTCCTGCAGCTATTTATCTGGAAGAACTGTGCAGAGTAATTTTATTCCACCTCAACCAGTGCTAGGCTCATCGGTTTAAGATATTTGGTAAAAAAAACCACATATTTTGAAAAATTCTTTTTGTAAATTTGAAGTATCTTCTAAGGAAGCTTCTAGAATCATATTGTAATTTTTTTATCCTTCTTGATTTCTAATTAATGTTACCTTGTGATTGTTCCCTTTTTCAGCTGGTGTACACTAGCAATGTGTTTCATGATAGCCACACTGGGCGGGCTAGTGAATCACTAAAAACCATGAAGTCAGCATAAACATACTCCTCTCTTTTACCCTTTCTTTCTGACTTCACCCTAGCTTCCTAGATTAGTGTTTCTGGGTGCATGGTGTTGTTTCGGGCCTCCAAAACGAATTATAAATGACAAATAAAGTCAGGAAGATATTTGTTTTCTCTGTCGCTCATAAGAGTTTTGAAAAAAAAAGTCCTTTGTCTTTGCATAGAAAGATCCTGCAAAATCGCATGTAATATCTGAATTTTGTAAAGAAACCTGAAACCAGGCAAATGTTACTAATCTCTGCCAATATTTTATCACAGTTTGTGCTATAAAATTGCTGCACACCATTTTTTCCCTGCCATACTCCCTTTATATAGCTCTATTTTGCAAAGTACAAAGCCTCTAGGGTACTGAATCACAGCCACCTTCACTTGGGTGTGCTACTTTATAAAGGCAGTTTTGCTTCTAGTGGACAACAAATGCCTGTGCATTTGGAGTTGCCCTGAGACTGGTGGGATTACTCTATATTCATTCAAAAAACAGTCTTTTGTTCCATAATTTTAGCAGTCCCAAATGGTATTGCAAGTTATAAAAATTTGGGTGCTATCTAATTCTTTGACCTGGGCTGTTATAATTTTTTCTTGCTGTGATAAGATATTCCACTGGTGAGAGTAAGGACTGATCCCTGCTGGGCTGCTGGATGAACATTAACACATAACCAATATTGAGGGAAAAGAAACCATGAAAAGTGTAAATAAAGGATGGTGGAAAAGCCCAGTTCACTCATTTTTTCTGCTCTATATCTGTGGCTACAGTTATTTCCCCTGGGACCAAGACAGTGAAGGAATGCAAGGTTCATCATTTCTCTTCTATCCAGGGAGACCAAATGAGAATGAGAAGAGCAGATGACCATCCTTGTAAGTCAGAAATAAGAACCTGTGGTATTCAAGGGGGAGTAGGAAAGAAAAGGAACAGGAAGAAAAACAACAAATGGATTCTTTGAAAAGGTCTTTTAGACAATAGAGACAAACTATTTCAAATGCTGAGTTTTACTTAAAAGTAGTTCCCCTTAGTTTACATGGTAACCAGTAAATGTACAAGAAAAGGAGATACATAAGCCCTCTGTTTTGCCTTACATTATTCCTCTGAGATCTGAAATGAGATTTATAAATTTCTTTTACTTTCTGGCTTCACAAATTCCGTTGTTTGGCACATAGAGATGAAGGAGTTCTGCCCTTTTGCACAAAACATGTTGAGAAATATCAGTCACCTGGACCTGTTCAAAGACATTCAGGGCCATGCAGGGAACATGGGTACTGCAAGGCTGAGACATAGACTTCAACTTCCCAAATAGGTCTCAGGAAAGTGGGAGTTGACTCTCCTTATTCTGGGGAAGTAAGGAAATGCAGTCTTTCCTTTTAAGCCCATAAGGTGTACCTCATCACATTGGTTCTCCTCTAACCAATCTCTACCAGAAAGCTGCATATTAAACAGTGAGTTTGAACTTGGATTCTCTGAAGCAAAGAAAGAATGTGAACCTGAAGAAAGAAAATGACATTTCACCTTCTACACTCACTGTGAGGGGACCACTTACTGGGCTTTGACATGACCATTAATCTGTCCTCATTCACCCACCTCCAAAGAAAACAGAAGCTATGACTTTGTCTTGTGAAAAATCCAGTAAGCCTTGTGCACACAGGTGCATATGTGAGGGTGCATGTGCACATGTGTGACACTGAGAAATACTACTGGATCCAGTCCTTCCGAGAGATTTATCATAAGGAATTTGTTACTAACAGATACTTTTAGCCTCAAGCAGAGTGGTGGTATCAGCATATGGTAGAAACATGATTCACAGAACAGAACACTTCAAAATTATTAGATTCTGGTAATATCATAAAACTGTGATGCCAGTGCCCACTCTGTGCTGTGCTGTACGGGCTGCCTGCCCCAGCCTGCTCCTGTTGGCCCCAGTGTGCACCCTTGTCCCCATGATCCCCAGGGAGCTGCCCTGTCCCTTACACCAACCAGGGTCAAAACATGTTTCAGCTGCTCCTGCACCCACTTTCTCCTCCAGCACTTGTACTGAGACACAGGGAGACATTCTGTAGAGTGGAGCCTGTGAGGGTCACCACAGAAGAGTCTTATTTTGGGACTTATTTTGGGAGTTCACATGCACTCCAGGAAATGGAGCCTCGTCATGTCAGGTCAGATCATCTGTGTAACAGGAAGTCAGCAAGGAGAGGTAGATATTTCCTTCCAGCCAAAATGGATCCTGCTAGACCCTTCAGTGTAAAAATCAGATTTCTCAATGTCTTTGGTATTACAAAAGATTCAGCTGTTTGTGTCTGCTTCCATGCAGACAGGAGCCAGGTCCTGAGCTGTGCTGCTTCCTGAGCCACTCTGGTTAAGCACAGAACAGATCTTCAGCTTTGCTGGGGTTTATACAGCCCCATTGTCATGTGCAATGAGTTCTCAGGATCTCAGCACCAGAGTTTGCTGTCTGAATTGCACCAGTGTCCTAAACTAGATCAGAAATCTGTTTTGATTTTGGTCTTAAGGGAAGTCACATGCTTTAGTCTCTTGCTGGACTCTTCATTTCTAGTAACTCATTTGGTGTAGACTTTCCATTTGGGATCCAAGTACTTTGAATACAACAAAATAATTTTTCTCCCCACCCCGCTATATTAAAGTCAGGTAAGGGGTCTATTGTTATCACAGATAGTTCTTGTCTTCCATTACTTCTCTTATCTAAGCTGTGCAATGTATATTTTTACTTTGTATGTATGTCTCATCACACACAAGCTAAATTCTGGTTAAGGCATAACTTTAATTTCTTCTGCCTTCATCCTTTCCTCTCCAGAGTTGTGGGCTTGGTTTTTGTTTTTCTGTTTGTTTGTTGGGGTTTTTTTGTGTGTGGTTTTTGTTTTGTTTTTTTTTTTTTTGGTTGGTTGGTTGGTTGATTTTTTTGTTATGTGGATTTTTGGTTTGGTTTCTGTTTTGAGCGAGGGGCACTTAAAGCATCAAAGAGCCCCTCAAATAACTCAACCTGTATCCCTCAGAATCAAAAAGAGATTTGATGTTCAAAGAGATTAACTGATGTGCTCAGGGCCTGTAAGAAAAGTCTGTGGTAGAAACAGTTGTCAGATCCCCTGCAAATCTGAGCAAGCAGGGGCTTAAAAACAAAACCATCCTCTCTCACAGGGTACGAGATTTATCTTCCCTAAGAGCTCTTTATTCATTCACTCTCCGTTGTTCAGAATCCCAGATAATAATGTCTGGCAGAAGTTCAGTATGTGCTATCCTACTGTCACTTGTAATTTTCTGGTTACAGCATAATCTTCCTGAGTTCCACAGCTGCCCATTCTGCAGTTTCTTAAATCTTCCCCTGAAACCAGCTGATGTTAGGAACAGACTATTTGACTATCTTTTCTGGTAGAGAATGAAAATTCTACCCCTGCTTTTAACAGCATAGCCACTTCCTGATGCTCTCTCCAAAGAGATTTGGATTCACATTGAATCCAAAATTCCTAACATTTGGCAACTGGACTGATCTAGTAAGCTGGATTTTGCAAAAGTAGTCTGAGTCTGATACTACCAGTATTTTTGATAAATAATTAAATGGTGACATGAGGAGTTCATATACAAAAGTATGTAAACTTCAAATGGCTTTTATAAAGGAAAAAAATTAGAATAAACCAGATGCAGCTTAACAGGGTGAGTGAAATACATGTAGGGATAATGAGATATGTGCTCACAAAAAATGTGAGCTGGACAGCAGGTCTAGAGAAAAAGAATGTAAATCCTAACCACAGCAAATGTAAACACACAAAAAGGTATTTTTGTGTGTAAAGTAACTGTAAAGTAAATTTTCATAATTCTTCCTAGTTTTAATGACTCACCATGTGTTGTGTTTTTCATGCTGCATCTTAGGAAAGGTATGGACTACCTAAAGGAGGCCTTCAGGAAACCAACCTGAATGCTCAGTAACTGGGAGAACACAACCTGTGTGAGAAAAATGAACATACCTGGGATGTGTTTAAGAGGAGTCAACATTCCCAAGGTCCACCAAACCAGTCCTTCCTCTAACTCTGACTATTTAACTCTCCGTAATTAACAGCTGAGGACACGCAGGCTTAAACATGGACTCCAAGATATTCCTCCCTGTA